CAGCACTAGAAATTCTTTTCTGTTCTTGAAAATACAGTTTGTGCTCTTTGATTCTTGCTATTGTACTGTTTCATGCATTTTTTTAAAGGACAGCTGAAGGGAGGATAATAACTATAAGTCAGAAAAATATTTTAGCTTAGACAAAGCTACTTGCCTTCAAAATAGTTTAGGGACCACCACCATATTTTATTTTGTTTTTTATCTTTGAACATTTTTCTAATTAGAGAGATAACTATTTACAAAAATTCTACCTATATCAATGATACAATTTCTTGCTCTCACCAGTTTTTTATATTAGCAAGATGACCTATTCCAGTATGGTCATATTTTTTAAGTTATCTTTCAGGGTAAAATGGAAATACTGTAAAGTCGGATGTCAAACTTTAATATGTTTTCAGTGTTCTCTAATTTTTAGGAATTTTTGTAGTCTTTACACCAGGGAAAAAAGATTTGTAAATTCACCAAAATAATTGTGTGCTTTATTTTATAGGTAGTGGTTGTTAGTGTTATATTCCCATTTTTTTAAGAAAAAAAAAAAAAAGCATAGTGTTGGTTACAATGTGTGGAGATTTATTGCCATATATTGAATCAAAATATCTTCTATTAACATAAAAGTACTTGTGAAGTAAAATCTTTCTTGTGCATTTTCAACACTTGTAAACTGGAAATTGGAAAATTAAATATTTACTATAAAGAAAATCTGATATAGCCCTTTTTGATATGTTTATTAATAATGATTAATGGGGCTTGTCATAAGTTCAATATACACAGCATCTTAGAAGAATATTGTTTAACCTATAAACCCTTTTAAAAAATAATGCCTACTTGATTTATATCTATACAAAGAATGTCAGGTAATTATATTTAGAAAACATTTAATGCACTAATCTTAAAAAAACTGAAAATTCAGGTGGATAAACAGTCTTAAAAAAAAGACAGTGCTTTATGTTACAACTATAGCTTTGGTCCCATCTTTAATTGAGAAGCATTTATCTGTATAAAACATATTTTTGGATAAAAAAGTATATATATATTTGTATCTCTACAGAAAGGCTCTAAAAAACATTTGAGTAAAATATTTGGTTCTCTTTTCTATAATTATCCTTTAAAATCCTTATAGCTGTATTTGGTTTTTTGTTGTCTTCACAGTATATACATTCTTTCAGTGTTCACATCCTGTTCCCCATTTCTCACTTTTGTCACCAGTTAATGTTTGTGCCATTTTTAGTATAGAAGGTGCAGACCTTGGAGGTCTGCAGTGTGACGAGTCGCCATGCTGCTAGAAAGTCGTGCTTTCTGTTTCCAGCCGTTTACCTCCTTCCTGGAAAAAGTAGTAGCTCTCTGTGGCATCATGGAGTTTCAGTGGAACCAAATTATTGCCACTAAAAACTGGCATTATATTGAACCATTCATTGAGAAATCAATCAAAATAAAAAATTTTTACTTTCACAAGCTGTATCCGTGACATTCTCTTCATTGTTAGCAAGTTTTGTGCTTTTTGAGTATGATCTCACAGTGTACCATGTTTCCAGAGCCCACTCCTGATAGAGAGGAGAGCCTTTCCCAAAAAGTGCGTTCTGCAGAACACAGCTAGGGCTACTGTAGGGGGAAAATGGTTCATCATTGGATAGGTTCAGGGACCATTGGGTCAAATAAAGGCGTTGCTTAGTGCAGGACTGTTCAGTCCTCTGTATCAGATGTGCCTCCTGAGGCACCGCGAGTGTTGGCACTGGGGACAGGATGTGCGGCTTCCCAGCTCATTCAGCTGTGGAACCTTCTTTCTGTGGGATTAGTAAGAACATGTGTTCTACAGCAGATGCTGTGGGTTTAGGGGAAAGGGAAAAGAAAAGCCCTTGACATGTAGTTAAAACTGTTCAAGACACTAAAATACACAAGTGCAATTGTAAATTATAAGCCCTAGACCTGCTTCTTCCAAAGGCTCTGTGCAAAGTCTGTCTTTAAGGGCCTCCAGATACTGCAGCGGCTGTCCCTGTCACCTGGCCTCAGGTCAAACGTGAAAGCCTGTTGGGAAGCGTCACAGAAGGATCGTGAACCCTGACAGCTGTCTTAGACTTATCGAGTGACCTTGAGCTAATGCTTTGTCGTTCTAGAGTTGTCTTTCCCTCTGTAAATTGCCTTCTTGCCTGCATTTTAGAATATGGTTGTGAGTAGTCCAGGTGGACTATTGTGAAAAGAAACTATTAACTACCGTCTTCTAAAATTGAGTGGTCATCCACCATCCTTGTATTCAGAACTAATCCTGGAGCAGAGCTCGTGGAGATGAGGAAAGGGGAGAAAGAGTTTTTTGTTGTTGCACAGATGTTAGCAGTTAGCCAATGACACCCCGTATCTCCAAGGTATTGCTAAATGTTTTCACTGGAAACGTTCTCTGCTGTCTACATATGAACAACAAAAGTTGTTTCTAAGAAATGACAATGATATCGATCACCTGTTAGCATTTTTTAAAGAGTGGCTTCAGAAGTAAAATCCTAGGATAATGCTTAAACAGATATTTTTCCCCAAAGACCATTCTAGGTGTGATAGGTGATTCAGTTTAGAAGAATCATCTCATAAAAAACTTTGACACGACAGGTTTGCGAATTAAAGTAGACATTAGCAAGTGTTAGGACAGAATGAAAGACTAGCAGCCCAGGGCCTGGGGGGAGGGAGTGCGTGCGCTTGGCCTGAGTCTCTGGGTGCTCCAGAATCCCTGGGTATACAGCCCAGTCCACTAGGATGACCAGAGGCCAGAGGACAGACAATAATGGGGCTTTGTTCGTTTGGTCACTGATCACTTTTTTAAAGCTACTGGGCATGTACAGAAGGTAACACACCCACCCAAAGGCCCAGCTTTGTCTTGTGAAGACAACAGAGAGCCCAGTAATTAAGACGAACTAGTCCTGCGTTTACCTAAACGTGATGGGCTTTACAAAAAGCTGCACTAGGTGTCTGTCGCACGTTGACCAGCTTTATCCAATACCATTTGGAAAAGGCTCACCCAATTTGTCTAGCTTGACTATTTTTAGTGAAAAGATTATGAATGTATTTGTTTAAGGCTGATGCCAAACATTTGGAGTGTCCCGAAAACAAGCAAATCAGAAAACAATTTTAGAGGCTCGGGTCCATCACATAGTCTAATTCATAACTATTAGTAACTTTGACCTTAACTTGGCCAAAGGGGGAAAAAACTTCTATTTTGAAGATCCACTGATGAGACTCACATAACTCACATACGAGAGTTCAAATCGACTTGTCCATTAATCAGCTCTATAGAATCTAATGTCTGTGCCTCAGTTTCCCGATAAGTATTAGCACCGACCCCACAAGGTAGTTCTGAGAACTGAGACAGTGCACTTAAGTTGTGCTTAACTCCAGGTTTACTGTTAGTCGTTCGCTCATAAGGTTGTGACAAACCGCACAGGGCGCGGCGAATGGTAAATATGAAGTAATCTTAGTTGTCACTAACTGTTCACTCCATGGACAAGGTCCTTGAGCACTTGTTCTCTCCAGCGCACGTCCAGTGTTCCGTGGTTACCACCCAGGAGCAGGGGGACCGGCAAAGCTGCACGAGATGTCCAAACCAGCATCGCTGCCATTTAATCATTGGGAAATCTTGCAGACACGCTTACTCAGCACAGAAGTTCGTAAGTCAAACATCCAAGTCTCAACTGAATTGCTTACACTTGAAAAAAGCAGATGGTATGTATGGTTTCTAAAGAAGCCATACCTATGGCTTATGAAACCATAGTTTCATTTAGATGGTGTGGACAACCTCTAGAGAATTTTTAGCTGCTTAGAGTTGCCTTACCTCCTACTGAGAAAAATCAAACTCCATCAGGCAAATGAGAATATTTACCTAGGATAAGAAAAGGGTATATTACAAGATAATGTTTATAAAGAAATTTGAACTGATCTCATAAAGTGTCCTAGAAATTGCAACTCTGCAAGAGGACTGGAGAGCCTGCATGCGTGTGGAATATACACCCAAGTGTGGATAATGTGTGAAACAGACTGAACTCTAAGGACTAAGGGCATTACTCGTATACTTGCTCGCTAACTTCTGGACAAACCCTTTCTTTCTCCATCAAATATGAGAAATGATATTAAAGTTCCTTATGAGAACAACTGGATATTAATTTTTCAAAACGCAATTTTACCAAACTAATTTAGGTCGAAGTGATCTGACCAATTAGAGTGGTCCTTTTCTTTTCTCTTTTTTTTTTTTTTACCTTTTCTATTTCTTGATGTCATTCAGCACACACAAAACTGTAAGACATGGGTTATTCGTAAGTTAGGTCAGAAGGGGGAAATGTCTAAATTGTATATCCTTAGTATATGAAAAATAAAAATCAAGTGTAGTTTTTAAAAAAATGAATTCAATCATGTCGGGTTACGACCTTGAAAATGCCCAGGAATGTGTTCGAAGACGTGATTTACCTAAATCCTAACATATGTAGGAAGCTGTGAAAAATTCAAAAGAAAATATGCAAAGCTTGGTTCAACTTCATCTTCAAAGAGAACTTCCATAACTGCACAATTCTCAATCGAATGACTAGAAAGCTGCAATTCAAACCTAAGAAGTCATTTCTCTATGAACAGTGGGTACGGGGGGTCAACTTGGTCTCTGCAGAAGCAATGGTTGAGACAAATGAAATGGGGACATAACCATTTAACAAAACCAAATCCCTTTCTAAAGTAGGAAAAATAATCTGTGGTGATTTCCATTGAAATTTTAAAGCACTTCTCTATATGTTGGTCATACAGAAAGCTCAGGCTCATTTCGCTTATTCTTCTATTATGTAGCATCTTAATTTTGCAATAGCCTGTGGTTTTTGTGGTTTTTTTTTTTTTTTTTTTACTGAATACTAAAACAGAATAAAGAATTTAAAAAGCAAAGCCATCTTGTGGAATGTAGCTTCAGGTTTAAGTAATCACTGGTCTCCTTGTTTTGCTGTATTT